GTTTTTTTTTTAACTTCATCAATGTCCGCGAAACGCTTTCCTTTCATGTTCCTTTTCATTCTGGGGAATAAAAAGAAGTCGCAGGGAGACAGGTCGGGTGAATAGGGTGGATGGGACACAGTGGTCATATCATTTTTGGTCAAAAACCGCCGTACAGAAAGGGCTGTGTGAGCAGGAGCATTGTCGTGATGAAAAAACCAGTCTCCTGACTGCCACAAATCAGGTCTTTTTCGCCTCAAACTGTTGCGTAATCTTTTTAACACCTCTAGGTAAAATGCCTGGTTAACTGTCTGACCAGGTGGAACAAACTCCGAATGGACGACTCCTCTCACATCAAAAAAACAAATGAGCATTGTCTTAATGTTTGACCTCACTTGACGAGCTTTTTTAGGGCGAGGCGATGCTGGAGTCTTCCATTGGCTCGATTGTTGCTTGGTTTCAGGATCATATCCATAGCACCATGATTCGTCACCTGTAATGACCTTGGAAAAGAAGTTTGGGTCATTTTGGAATTCTTCTTTCAAAGAAGAGCATGAATCCACGCGGCCTTATTTTTGCTGCTCAGTTAGCAGTCGAGGAACAAATTTTGCAGCCATCCATCTCATCCCCAAATCTTCACTTAAAATTCTCTGTACTGAACTCCATGTCACACCACATCTCTCCACTATTTCTTCGATGGTTTGCCGTGGATCTTCCAGGATAATTTTGTGAATTTTTTCTACATTTTAGTTGGTTCGCGCCGTCGAAGGACGTCCAGAGCGAGCTTGGTCGTTTATCGACATTCCACCACTTTTGAAACGGGAAAACCACTCAAATACTTGAGTTTTCCCTAAAGCATCACCTTTGTAAGCTGTTTTCAATATCTCAAGGGTTTCTGTGCCTGTTTTTCCGAGCAGGAAGCAAAACTTGACGGCCGCGCGCGCGCTCATTACAAAAACAACGAGTACGAAAAATAACTTTTAAAAAAAATATCACACCAACGTAACACAACCTTCCACGGTGACGACCGTTGGCATTTTGAATGTTGAGAAGTATATTTATACGCCCCTACCGGAAAAAAATTGGTACTACTAAAACTCTGTCCCACACTACATCAGTTCGGTTTCTTTTGGGTACGCCCTCGTACAATAAAAGCACTATTTCTGAAAGAAAATCTGACTGGGGTGGTACTTTAAAGAGGTAATTTTTTTATTTCCCCAGGAGTTTTCCCAATAAATGGGATCACGATCAACTAAACTCCGCTCAGAGTCGTTTTTTTCGTTACTCGTCGCTTACAGATATACATTAAATTCCTGTCTATATCCTACATTCCTAACTTCCCGCCTATAACAGTGGCTGCACCCATCCCCATTATCCCAGGAGAGCTTTATCTTTAAATAATCCTTTTAAAACTTTTCGCGTTCCATTTTCCATAATATTATAATTTTATATTCAATACGAACAATCCACTTGAGCTTGTCAATGATTGTTTGTCTGTACCTGACAATAATGTAAATACACGTGATATACACATAATTTCCACTAACACGATTTCGTTTTATAAATTATCAACGGAGCCCATACGATGCGTACGCAAACAAGCTACTCGTAACACAAAAACACTCTCTTTTATTATATGCGTATTATTAGATTGTTTCTATTCGTCTAAAATAACATCATTTCATTCGAGTTTATCCAATTTACAATACCTATTGTATTTCATTGTTAATACAATATATACAGATACTTACTTAAGTTTCTCCTTATCTTGAAGTTTAAATTATAACTTGACCCACGGAATTTACGGACATCATATAGGTACGTGAACTTAAAACGATCAAATGTAATGCAAAATGTACAAAACGTATTTTATCTACTTTGCCTTCCGCCGCTATTCGGGTCACTAATCATCACGCACACACAAGGGTCAAGTCGTTATAAATAATTTTTCATGAATCGTTATTCTATCGATTAGATACTCGTAATAATCGAGGTACTCCCTTTTATGTTGTATAAATAATATTGTATATTATTATGCGCATTAATTTGGTACTGTCACTTTTTAATACAACTTAAAAACCACTCGTAAACAACAGAACTCCATCGCTAGAGTCAAATTTTTTCCCAGCTGTTGCTATTCAAATATTTACTTTTTTTTTTATAATGTATTTTAAATAGTATTATGGTTAACCAAGTTGATCATAGATGTAATATTGTAATTTATATAATACTACATTATATATTATGTAATCAATAAAATAGAATTTGTATTTATTTATGATTTGCGTATGCCATTTGTTGACTACGGCTACCCCTCCTCATATCTTATTTCACGGTCTACTACCCCATACAACTACTCAATAATGATTAGGAATCGAATAAAAAAAAGTTTTATCAAGTAAGTAAATATAGTTCCCGATATTTTTACTATCATACTAATATACTGTGGCGACGAGGATTGGAAGTTAAAAGGGTACATCCTCGACAACAATGCTATTTATATTTATATGAATTTTAACCCTATTACTTACTTTGATGACTCTGTCATGGCATTTAAAACCCGTATATGGAAACATACATATTTAACACACAATTAGTTGGGGAAAGGCTTTAAAGTTGAAACCACCAAAAGACGTAACCTTGATACACCATACATATACGACATTACAACCCTTTTTTTAGGGGATCTTTAGGTATCAACAAAGCTAAAACAACACCCTCCTCCGGCAATAAATGAAATTCAACTAAAACGTAATCACTTCAATCCGCCTATAAAAAAAACTAGAATTTGATCCCATTTAATGCAGAAGAAGCCGCTAAAAGTGTTCAAAAGTAGCGGGAAAAAGGTGTATATATATGACAGACACAATACAGTCTCTATTTTCGGTGAAAATTCAACAAATCGATATAATATGATTTTTTAGTTTTCAATATTTTCCTACGACATTTTCGAAATTTGTTACCGGCTGATTATTCCTATTACAGACTGGAAACAAACGTGGAGGTTCTAAATTGACGTTGCATCGAAACTTTAACCATTTGACCTGAAACTAGTTGCTATAATTAATCAAAATACTCGTACAACTTTACAATGTTCTACTGCAAAAATTTCAGAATTGGCTACTGTTTTCTTAGAAGCCAGAAAAAAAACCGTCCTAGGATAATAGAGACGAGTGCAGCTACTGATATAGATAATTTAATGTATTATGTTTTCTAGCCATGAGGTGGTTGTGTGTTACGAAGGTATAGAATTACAACACCTAATAAAAACAAAACCCCCTAGTTTCCCNCTTTGACATAAATCTAGAAATTTCCGAATTCAAAAAAGAAAACACCAGTCCTATTATGTTCAGAAACGTCTTTCAAAACACATTACAAAAATACCCTAACTACAAACATATCTACACTGATGCATCTAAAACAGACTAAAAAGTTGGAATATCTATAATAACAGAAAATTCCTCCTCGTCCTACAAACTTCCCCTGTATGTTCTATTTACACAGCCGAAGCAAAAAACTATTATTACTTGCTTCAACCGGAAAAAAACCATTACGAGAACGATTGTGTTATTGATCCAGTCAATGCATTCAGGAGGTCATTTTTTGAAATACAAAACATTTTTGTGTTATGAAAAAACCAATGATAAAATATAATTTCGATGATCACCGGTTTTCGTAAAACATACGAGGCACACGAATCAGACCTGATAATCATGCAGGACGTATTGTACAATTTTTACCTGTAAGCAACGATAAACCATTGCTTACGAAAAAACGATTCTGAGCTGAGTTAATTTGATAGTGATGCTTTGTCAACAATATATATATATTATTTTATAGTAAAATAATTAAATAGGCTTTATGTATTATTTTTAATATTTGTTTATGTTGTACCAATTTTCCCAGTTTTTCTATGTTTTTATCGGTTTTCCCATGTTTCTTCCCGCTTTTTCATATTTTCTGGGAAAATTCCTGAGAAAATCAAAAAATAACCTCTACCTTCCTAGTAAAATTTCCTTTTAGAAACATTGCTGTCATTTAAGTTGGAGCAAAATTGCTGGTAGAAAAGTTATGCACAGGAAAAATTCGTAATAATTTTAGTAATATATTTTGTAGATTTTTCCGATTTTTTTTCTCTTTTTCCAATTTGATGAGAAAACTCTTGAGAAAATCGAAAAATAACGTCCTTAAAGTACCTTTTCACGCCGATTCCTTTTCAGAAAAAGTGCTACACGTATAAATCCGAGCAAGTCTTTGAGTAAAAAAGTTGCACACAGATAACAAAAAATATAAAAAATAAACATCTTTGTAAAACTATAAGCTTCTTCGCTCCACACAGAACCTAAAATGACATTACATATTTTTAAGATATTCTAACACTCTTTAATACGTACAATGCCTCGCAATTATAAAAATGACTTAAACCGAATGCAATCATTACAATTTGCATCATTATTATATTTTGTACATATCTATTGATTTGGCGAACCGGACTGTTTCATTTTAATAGCTATGCCTGAGACGTCTGGTATTGAAGAATCGGTCAAATCGGCTCCATCGGAACCGCAACAGAACGCGAAACATCGGATAATTTCCTCGGCTATAGTTTCCTGAAGACATCGTGTCCGACCGCAAGTTGGCAACTATATAACGTGCAGAATCGTTGTCATCGTTGCCAACGGTCGTAAAAACTATGTAAAATAAAAAACAACCAATTCGAATCCCTCATAGTATAACTAGCGAGCAGGTTATCTATAGCTGGATTTTTCTTTGTAATAAATATCAGCAATTAACCATTAGCAAAAATTATCTGTAAATATTGTAATATTATGTATTTTTTTAACTTTCTATGAACACACAATATTCGTAGACTATTGATTTTTAAATAACGACCCGTATTCGGGTATTTTTGGTGATGTAGTACCTAACAACACAAAATAATACTATATAATACCCGAGTAATAACTCGCCTTCTAATAGAAATGCTTTTGTTTGGGTGTGTTTTATGTTAGTATTAGTATTTTTAGACAGATAATAATTTCTCTAGTATGACTTTGATTAAAAATAAAACTGTTCTTCTACATAAACACAGATTCAAATATGAAAAATACCTACCTAGGTACCTACTACAATACCATTGACGATATTATATTATTATTACCGGCGGTTTCATCCATTATTATATTTCATATTACTATTATTATTATTATTTTTTATTTTTTTTTTTTTTTTTGAACATCGAAGCAACCAAATTAATTAATTTCAATTATATATATATATATTACAGTACCTACTCGTAAAAATGTAATAATACATTTAATTAGTATTTTTTTTTTTCATATATATATATAGTAAAACGCAAGTTCCGCTGAATCTTTATTAGGTAACGTACAACTACGGCAACATTGTTCAGTGTTCACCGGATAAAACGTTTTGATCTATATTATAATATTGTTTACGAAATTCAGCCGAAAGTTAGCCTAATTTCGTTAGGCATCAAAAGTTTAGCGCATTATATTTCGCAGTTATTATTATTGTTATTATATCCTGAGTGCAGATTCTGTACACTGTGATAAAATTGTTCGGTAAATTATATTCAAAATAATAACATACAATCAAAAAACATATTGTTTACTTATTTATGAATTTATATGAAGTGCACTTTTGATTTTATTTATTCAAATATTATACGTATGGACCGGTTAAAATTTTGATTTCCTAATTTTTCAACTATTTCATAAATAATGTACAATTACGTATTATAAAAGTTTTGACTACGGAATATTTCCATACAAATATTCGAGTATTAATAATTAGCTCGACGCATGACGTAAGGATATCATTTTGACGTGGCATACTGACATATAATATTATTCGGCTATGTATATGCGAGAATCAGCTTGTAGGGATTGAATTGAGAAACAAGTAGTAGAAGTATTATACAGCTACTTTAAAAACAAATAGCGTCCCTAGAATTTTAATATCCTTCAAAGCACCGCGGGTACATTACCTCCACCCCCTTCTATGATCCTCCAAGAAACATTAATATAAAACCATTAAACATGTATCATAACAAAACATAATAATATAATAATTGTTAAGGTAATTATAAATTGTCTTTTTTAACACCAACATTCAAATATTTTAATATTATTTGATTGTTTTGTACTTATACAATTATAAACTTATTTTTATATAAATCAATCATTTTTGATTTTTAAATATCTTTATTTAAAAGAATCCATAAATGAGAATATTGATAACTAGTTTAAATTAGATTATAGCATATTTTTCAATGATAAAATTATAAAATAGTTCAGTGGTTACTGGATTTATAGATAATAATTAATGATTATCATTGATACTTATCAGTTATCACATATCAGATATGAAATATCATTATATAAATACATTTTGTAAATATTAAAACATCATTTTGCAAGATTTATACGAGTAATACGTAAAATATTTAGCTGAAAAATTTAAGTTGTAAATGTAAAATAAGTAAGTTTAAATATATCAATCCGTTCCATGTGTTTCCATTTAAAAAGGAAGGAGGGTTGCGCTAGAATATCCAAAAAATCGGTTTAGGTACTCAGTCCTCCCGCATCTCCATCACACAAATCAAGCACTGACAGCTTATATTATCATAATAAAATATCAATTCCGCTGGGCTTCCATGTTCAAATTATATTTTTTTGTTAAACAGCAGTGGCGTAATTACGAGAGTGGGGAGGAGAATTAGGTAATAAATCCCCCATTAGACCATATTTTTTTTTATTTTTTTTTTTGAAGAGTAAGTAATATTTAAATTCCTATGACCTTTAAAAGCGTAATATTTTAATTTTAAAATAAAAATTTAAATCAAGTTTTATTGTGAACTATTTTCAATGATAAGTGATAAAATATATATATGATAATCGCCAAGCCCTTTTCTGTAACCGTGTTTGATTCTTTTTTATTGATTAAAAAAAAAAAACGGACGGACATACTACGTATAACCGTTGAGTCACAATTGTTGGTGAGAAGTTGAAAAGGTTGGAAATAGAAGTAAATTTAATCTATATCCATACGTAAGGATTAATCATTGATAACGAAAAACGATTCTGAGCAGAAGTAAGAAAATAACATTGATTTATCAACAATGTGCGTTTTTACAACAACAATTATTTAAAAAATGTTAAAATAGTAAAAACTTAATCCAAAAAGTAAATAAAAACGTTTTTTCCGGTTTCCCCATGTTTTTCCCAGTTTTTCACATTTTCTGGAAACAATTTTAAAAAAAATCGAAAAATTATTTCTCTGAAATACCTCCTTAGTAAAATTTCCTTTTAGAAACATTGCTATCATTATATATTGGAACAAAATTGCTGGTAGAAAGAATTTGCACAGAAAAATAAATCGTAATATTTTAATAATATATTTTATACATATACCCGTATTTTTTTTAGTTTTTCGCATTTGATGAAAAAAGCTCTTGAAAAAATCGAAAAATTACCTTAAATTACTTTCTCACACCGATTTTCTTTTAGAAAAGGTGCTACACTTAGAAATCCGAGCAAGTTTTTTGGTAAAAAAGTTGTTTAAAAATAAAAATAATCATCGTTGTAAAATCATAAGCTTCTTCGCTTATGCCTACGTCATTTTGTCACTATTCAAAAGACACTTTAGTATTAAAACTATGTGTATTTTCAAAAACATCTAAAAACTAATAATAACTAATAAAAAATGTTTGGTATTGTGAACACTTTTAAATGCTGAAATAATCAATGCGATTATTGAAATATGAACGTTCCTTTAACAACTTTAATGAGACAATAATGTAATATATTTAATCATACAACAATTTTAACAGAGCTCGTGTTTTAAACTCGATTGTTCCACTTTTAATTTCAATTTAAAATATGAAAAAAGCTGGCAGATTCATTGTTACTATACCAACGAAAGCTGTATCGTTGCTCTAATATATGAGTATATTGATATTGTAGTATTGTAACGAATTTAATTCTGAATATTCTTTAAGATATATTTACATTATTTCACATATTAGGTATATAATTCACAATGCTCAATTACTTTACAAAATCAATATTTAAAGCAATCATTCGTCCAAAAATATGGTGTACAAGCATTTCGAAAAAAAATGTATGCACTGCATTACATGCAATAAAAAAAGTAAGTTTTAAATAATTAGCAAAAAAGTATACAAATGCCTGAAATTTAGGGACTTACATAACTATTAATTCAAAAAAAAAAAAACTAATCATTATAGAAAATATATAAAATAAACAATATAAATTTTAGTATAATACTAACTTGTCTTAATCGTTTTATACCGTAGTGTTCTACAACTAACAATTATAGAGTTGTAATGGTTAGACACGGCGAGAGCGAATGGAATGAAAAAAACTTGTTCTGCGGTTGGTACGATGCTAAATTAAGTCCCAAAGGTAATACGAATATTAAAATAATAATTAAAATTTTTTATACTTTATTTACTGTAGTCAAAATAATTACGAATAAAGATAATTTACCCGTCCGCGTTAAGAAATTAGATGGTTTTAAATAGTTGAAAAAAATTAATAATCATTTTTTGTTTAGATTTTTAACTGACAATTAAATTATTAAATTTGACTCATGGTCGTCGAGTGAATTAACTGAATTAATTTTACTAAATTTATTCGGTGTTTACGATGGGTAGGTATTTCTATTAAAAACGATTTACATAATTGTCTTGTGACGCGTAAACTCAATTTCAAATAACATAATAATAGAATAGGTGGGAATATGTAATTATAATTTCTATTATATTAAGCCATTCCGCTATAACGTATAGCTGATACTATTGATCCGAAGATTCATTTTTTTATAATCCTTAAAAATATATACAATCTATTTTACATCGGTTCTATCGTGTGTGGTAAAATATGATATTAAACGAGTTCAATAATTATGATTGTATTTTGTATAACAAGATAATGAAAAAGAGGGTAAACATCAGACATCCCGAAAACGTTTGAAGTTCTACATAAACTATATCAAACGGCATTTTTTAAATAAAAACGCCTTTTTCGGCTCCGTCGTTAAACTGCGTTTTATACAAATACGCTTTTATATTCCGTTATATTTTTTGGCCCGCAGGCTTGCAAGAAGCTGTCAACGCCGGAAAAACGTTGAAACTGAACAATTATGTATTTGACGTCGCACACACGTCCGTTCTGCAGAGGGCTCAACACACTTTGTGTACGATACTCGACGAGCTGGACCAGGTGGAAATTCCCGTGCACGTGACTTGGCGTCTAAACGAACGGCATTACGGAGGTCTGACAGGACTCGACAAGTCCGAGACCGCCGCCAAGTACGGCGAAAAACAGGTAACTGATATATATATTTTTTTTTTTTTCTAAAGAAATAACAATGATATAATTTCCGACGTACGGCCCCGGTCTCTCTCTAAAACACTTCTTTAGATTTTCAACTAGATTCGATATTTAATGCGTAGTGTAACAACGATATATAATAGCGTTATATGTATTATTATTTTAATACTGAATATTTTTTTAAGATGGCTTCTGTTAAAATTATAAAATTAATAATTTTTAATCACAAAATAATTTTAAAATGCTAAATTTCTACAATGTTGGACGTAGAAACCGTCGATATTTTCTCCCATGTCGAGGTAGAATTGAATTGTTAACCATGTGTTGTAATGGTAACAGGTCAAGGTGTGGAGACGTAGTTTCGACACTCCGCCACCGCCAATGGAAAAAGATCACGCGTACTACGATCAGATCGTCAAAGACCCTCGGTACACAGACGAACCGTCCGGTAAAGAATTTCCAATGTTTGAATCGTTAAAATTGACCATAGAAAGAACTCTACCGTATTGGAACGAAGTTATTGTCCCACAAATGAAACTGGGAAAACGGATCATAATAGCCGCTCACGGAAACAGTCTTAGGGGTATAATTAAATATTTGGACAGTGAGTGCATACTCATAAATTGATATTTTGGTTAGAAAATCGTATGGACGGAGACCAAAAGATTACATTTTTTCATCGTTTTTATACAGTAGAAAAAATTACACCAACATCTCACTGGTAATATCCGAGGCGGTTATAGAAATTTATTTTATGCCTTTTAGGGCATCCCAATCATTTATAGAAAATCCCTATTTCGGTCCTCGGCCAGTACTAAATCAGCCTATAATCCACATACTTCCTAATGTCCAAGTTCGGACCTTCCCCCATACCATCCACCAAGAAACAAAAGGGAATCTTTTTGAAATATTCAACACCCCTCCCCCATTTAGGTCCTGAAGTGATCTTCAGAAAATATGAAAAATAAGAAGGAAACAAAAATTCGACCGTATTTCGGAACAACTAGAACAACTAGAACAACTAGACTAACTAATTATTCAGAACAAGTATTAAACAATTACCAATTTTCACTTATAGTAGATTACTCTAGATATGATAAAATTGTCAAAAGATGTTGACGAATTTTGAACTTTTTTTATTAAAATTCTATAATATATTTGATATTTTAGATTTTTCAAGTTATTTAAATTGTTATTTGGTTTTGTATAAATGAAATTGTTTATATAAACATAAATTCTTGACAATTTATTACGATCATATCACCTCGAAGTTCGTTATAATTTTGTGGCCAAAAATCGAAAAGTTGAGCATAATTTAATAATTTTTTGCGTGTTAAGTTCAATTTTTGAAGAAAATCGTAATAATTATAGCATTTAAAAATATATCTAACTGAACTTTTCTCAGAATAACTTTTAATTATCAAGCAATACTTTATCGTTGTGTGCATGGTGGTAGGGGCTAATTTATCAACCAAAATAAGATATTCCCGGGAAGATCCAAATGTTTTCCGATGGAAATTTCCAGGCTGGAACTAATTTCAATTAAGACGATCGGTTCCCAACAAGTAATTTTGATCAATCATCAATTAAACAGATAATGTCCGGGAAGGTCGAAATGCAACCCAACGGGAAGTTCCTGATAGGCATTAATTGGGTACTAAATAGGAAATTCCCGGACTGGTCTACACTGTAAAGGTTACAAGATAGGAACTTATTATTCCACCTGTTCCTTGGTTAATCTGATAGCTAATTGGAAGGAATTCTGTAACAATCAAATAAACAATTAGATTGACGATTGTAGGGTTAAAAAATTATCCATCTGATACATTCTGATTAGATGAAATAATAACAGTAATAGAAAGTTTAAAGCTTCTGATAAGTGGTAAACACATACAAACAAGAAACATTGGTCAGTTATACAAAGTTCATTTTGTTGTTCTACAATGTTCTATCAAATCAAGATGCTTCAATCATCCGTGATGATATCTGATTAGTCGTCAGATCAATAAATCAAGGAACAAAATTTGTTACCTGAATGGTGTACCGGGTGATCCATTTAAGTGGGTACACTCATTATCTCGGAAAGTATTAACTTTTTCTGGAATTTGTTTTCTATAATATTTAAGAAACAAGCTGCTCTACAATTGTAAATTTATATTATTTTTTATCCCCTTTATTTTTGAGCGTAAAGCCACTACTTACATTTAATTTTCAAATAGTGACCTATATTAAAAAGTACACAAATAGAAGGAGTATTAATCAAAACAAATTTTAGTGTTGACATTTTTGATTTCCAGCGATCCGTTGACTAGATATTCCACTTTTAAGTTTAGGCTGGAGGAGAGTGATGGTGCATTATCAACACGCTGCACGCCGTACCGCTACACAAATGATTCTCAACCACTCTCTTCCAACCCAAACTTAAAAGTGGAATATCTCGTCAACGGATCGACGGAAATCAAAAATTTCAACACTAAAATTTGTTTTGAATAATATGTCATTGATTTATGTATGATAATGAGTATACCCACTTAAATGAATCACCTGGTAGGTATTGGAATCTAATAATTTTCGTTCTCAATAAATAATTACATAATATTGTTTCTTAGATCTTTCTGACGATACAATTATGAATTTAAATTTACCGACGGGCATACCATTCGAATATACACTTGACGAGAACTTTAAACCCATAGTTTCATTGAAGTTTTTGGGTGACGCAGAAACCGTTAAGAAAGCTATGGCCGCTGTTGCTTCTCAGGGCAAAGCAAAATAATCAATAATAGATGAATAAATAATTAATTGTATTGGTGCATTTCAAACAAACCATGTATTATGAATTTCTATGTTTTATGAGAAGTGTTATAAATATTTTGTGATACTGAAATATAATATGTAATATTACATTTCATTTTTACGTTTTGTGTATAATAGTTCAAGTATTAAATTACAATTTAAAATAAATAAATTTTCCTTGAAAAAAATTAGTTTTATTTATTTTCAAAAATCCGTGTGAATGTGAATGTGTGATATGCACTTACACATTTGTCTAATATAAGTATCTACATTTGAGTGCACACGTGAACCACCAACTTAGTTATGTCACATAAAAAAACTATGGCATTTTTGTTGTTAATACATTATTATGTATTTTACACTAATAACAATACTTATAGGTTTGTGTCTAAATGTGACACACACTTATATTTAAATTAATTATGACTACATAAATAAATTAAAACTATTAGCCCCCGTTGGTTTTAAATTTATAAATTATTTTTCGAACAGATGTATTCTACTCTGTATACTAAGTTCTAATAAATAATTAGTATAAAACACCAATAACAATATTGAAACCGTAGCAACAACTGTATTCGCCTATTCGTTCAATTATTTACATATTGGTTTTTTATTTTTATATTGCGTGCACAAAATAATACTCTGTTTATCGTGTTTAATATCTTGCAACAATTTTAAAATCTACTGCAAATCGATACCAGATAATATGTACGTAGTTTTTCAGCATTTTAACAATGTATTGCATAATATACAAACTATTATAACATGGAAGTACCGGCAAAATTATTCTAATAGGTCTTTTTTACTAAAAAAATTGTTATAGTTTTTTAGTATAAGTATATCATAAGTTGAGATTATTTATTTATTTTTTCTGACTCAAAAATCATCGTTATTCTATGATTTCAACGTAATGAAAAACCGTGATTACTATGATCGTGTATCAATGATGCCAACTAGGATATTAAACAGTTTTAAGTTAAATAATACAAATAATATTATATACTATTCATTTAACTGCAGCGTCGGGAAATTCAAGTTGCTTTGAATATATAATTTAAGACAAATTAAATCATAATAATACCCACCCTATAATGCATAACACGGTAGTCGACAAATGTTACATTCTTCATGAACTCGTTCAATATTCATATACTTTCTTATTTATTATAAGCTTCATTTATTCTTTGTATTTCTTAATAACTAATAAAAATGAAATTCTACAGTTAACAATAGTGTTTTTTTGCAATATTATTGAGCATAATTTCGTAAAATTGTAATTTATAAACTCACTTGACAATATTCTGTTGGTACCTACTCAGTTTAGGTATATAAAGACACCCGTTAGGTCCCAAAGGTATAGTTAATGTGAATTATGGCATAAAAAAGATAAATAGAAAATGTATTTATGTGATGTCAGGGTCGTATTTGGAAATTTTGCGCCCCGGGGCAACATATTTCCGCCTCCCGGAACCCTAACCCCTCCCGAATAAAGCTATTTCTTAAAATGTAAGATATGACTATTTTGTAACATACAATTTTGGTCCACAGAAAATTGAGCCAAAAACCTACATATGATGCTACTCACTATTATTATTTCTATTATTATCTCACTAAATATATACAATATACACTATATACATTCATGTGTTTTTTATTATTGTCAAATCTATTATGAATAATAATTATGATCATACAAATTTAACAAAATACATTATAACTTATTATAGGCTATAAATATTAATAATTCATATATTATAGTTATTTCCTAAATCTCTAGAAAAATCAATGTTAAAAAAAAACCCGTCCTAGGGTAATGGGGACGGGTGCAACCACTGTTACAGATAATTCAATGTATACCTGTAAACAACGATAAACTATTGATTACGAAAAAACGATTCTAAGAGAAGTTCAGTTGATAATTATACTTTGTCAACAATATATATGTCATTTTATAGTAAAATAATTATACTAATAATTACTCTATATATTTTCTTGAATAATATTTGTTTAATATTTTACCGATTTCCTCGGTTTTTCTACGATTTTCCCGGATTTTCCCAGGTTTTATTCTCAGTTTTTTACATTTTCTGAAAAAACTCTTGGGAAAATCGAAAATTGACCTCCTTAAAGTACCTCCCCACGCCGATCTTCTTTCATAAAAGGTGCTACACTTAAAAATCTGAGCAAGCCTTCTCTTAAAAAAGTTGCACAGATAAAAAAAAAAAATAAACATTTTTTCTAAAACTATAAGATTCTTCGCTTCACTTAGAATCTAAAATAATTTAAGAAATATTTATTGTATTTTTTACTAATAAATCAAATCTATATATCTAAATAAATTTATAACTTTCTCCTTAACTGAAAGTTTGAGAATAAAGTTATTATTTATAAATAGTATGTTAATAATATAATTTATAACATTGTTAATATTATTATCCGACAAATTGATGAAAACAATTTACATTTTTGAGCTATAATAATTGTTTTTAATAGAAGGTTAAAATAATAATTTAAATAATTTAATAAACATATAAATTTTTTAATAAAATTAATACACAATAATAATTTATCAATATAAATTTTCCGCCCCGAGCAAAAAGGTACACTTACCCCCTCTCCTTAAATACGTGCCTGGTGATGTTCGAACATTAGGATGGTCATTTAGAATCATAATTTTAATTTTACCTACAAATTATTCTTTGTAGTCTAAAAATTAATAATAAAATTATTTTATGTTACAAAGATTGAGTTAAAAAAAAAAAAAACTGTAATAATGGAAATGTATTTTGAATAATAAATGTAAACCTTTCGGTGATATTCAGTAGGTAACTATATATTTAAGAACACATTTATTTACCTATATATTTAATTTATTTCATCGCGATGAAAACTTAGTAATGCAACCAAATTTCAAAAAAACAACGGACAATTATATTTCATATTTCTGTATATTATATACGTAATAAATTTGATAACTCTATATACGATAACCTGCCTATGCTTTTTTTAAATGAATCAATATAATCACTCTACCCCGTGTCTGGTGATCGGAAAACTTTCAGACGAAATTTAATATCTTTGTCATTCGTCACGTGACATTTGCATTTCAATTATATCATAGTAAATATTCGCTCTATTTGTCTTCCATTGAGTGTTTACCAAAAGCGCTTTACAATTCCGTCACCGTTCGTTATGTATCGTTTCAATTCACCGACCACATCGTTTTGTCAGACCATCAATACTGTACTTACGTTGAATGTCGATTCACAGTTTTTGTGTCAGTATGTAGTTTGTATTCTAAAAATGAAGCCATTTTATACAGTCTGCAAACGTGTGCCGGTATAATATATAATAAATCGATTACGGACGCATTATGGGGGGGAGGAATTCGTTACAAAGATATAAGAATAGGTTTACCGATGATGGGTACTCGATATATACGATGATAATATTATTATTAGGTTTTCTATATTACTTCCTGAATATTGTCGGTTCCTTACTTGGACGAAAGTTATATTAATATATTATCTCGTATAGACAATTTGTTGATAATCGTATTTTTTACGAAAAAACCTAGTTTTCGGTATCGTACAAATACCTAATACCTATGTACACACGTGAAAAATATAAATAATAGTCGACGAGATTAATTAAATTCATGTCGATACCTATTTGACGTGTGATTGATCGTCACAAATTAATATTCGAACAGTTTTCCGTTTTTGTACATTTTAGTATTTTAGCGCAGTCGAGTTGGTTTGAATTATTTTTTTTTATATTTAATATATATAAATTCGACAAAAATAAAATGTAATGTAAAATAATAAAATGGATTAGGTATCATAATACCTAATTCAAATTGCTCTCTATAAATACACAGTCTACGAGTACATACTATAAGTGGATGGGATGTAAAATTGATTCAACGATGTGTATTTGTATACAGTAAAATATTCGTTAATGCACTACTCGTATGCTTCATAAAGTTTGTGAAATTTTAACGATTGTCACCATAAGTTAGATTATTAGTATATTACAATCGTGGAGTTTTTAGTTTTGTTTTTTTTTTTATCCATTACGTTTGCGTTTTACAATAATAAATACGTATTTATACGCCAAAAACTAAAAATGAACTGTTCCTCTGTTCTGTTTTCCTCAGTAAATCGATAATTTCAACAGTTCTGTGACTAATAATTACAACAATTCGATTACAATAACGGATCGGTTTTATGAGGCGCCCGGTGTAGATAATATCACTACATGTGTGCACTGCGAGTGCTAACCCGTCTCTATCACAATCATTTTTAAATTCATCCTACAATTTTGGTAAATGTATTTCCTTTGAGCATTTGCATTTGTATATCAAAGGCAAGCATTTAAATATTAAATAAAATAAAACTGATGTTAAAAATTAAAAGTCAAATAAAAGTACATAATATACAAAATGCTCATCCCATTTTTTTGGTTAAATTTTGCACATATTCAAATTCCGATTTTTAGAATTTTTAAGTGTAGTTAAAGTCAATATTTTAAAATACTCAGATTTTTACACTACATTTAAGGAGGGCCCTGTGGTAGCATCAACTTTGATTTTTCAAATGGGAACTTTCATATTTTAATGCAAATTATAAATCAGATGGTTTTTATGGAAATGTTGACGTATTAAAATCGAAATTTAATCGAAAAATTTCTGAGTTATTCTACTTTAAAATACTAAGAATGTAACAGTATAAAATGATAATTGGATACCGACAGTTTCATAGGAGTTGTTTATTAACAAATACTTGTTTAATTAGGAGGCATATTATACCGCACTATTTCAGTGTTTCAGCTCGACCATCAATATCGCAGATATCTGATATCATTATTTGCATATTGTTATTATTAGGGTGATAAGAAGAACGTTTAATTTTTTATCGCTTCGATACAGGTATTATTTTCCTCGTTTTCGCGTTTCACTAGAAAATAAATTAGATATTTACCAGGGCTTAAAATTAGAATATTTTGCTACAACACATTTAAATCCACACACAAAAATATTTGAAAATAATGAACATAGACCTAGTAGTGCACATCCCACAAATGACTTCGTTGCAAAAATGTTTTTGGTTTTTATTAATAATTAGTTATAATAAATACAATCTAAGACAATCTTCTATGAAAGTTCTTGATATATGACTAGAAATTTTAAAATTAAAAACTAAATAGCTTGGGTTAATATACTTATTATATATTATAATAAATACCTACTTTACTGGGAACAACATTTAACACAATGTTATGTTTAAAACAAATATATAAATTAAGTTAAAAAAAAACTTTGGCACTATTATTCTCAGCAAAAGAAATACTTTTTGAGGCTTCAGCCTTCAGAGAAAACCCCCTGAAAACCTAACCATTCCTACTTAACAGCATATGACTGTACCTTAGTATGCCTATTTTTTTTCTTTAAGCGAATATATAACTGCTGAATGAGGGTTGAATTTATACAGACAAGACAAAAAATACGAATGTCGTTATCGGCGCCACCCAAACGGTGTAATCGGTATTACCCTTTAATGTTAAGGATTTTAAATGAATACATGCTAATCAGTAATTTTCATTATTTTCAATAATCAATATTAGATATAAATCAAATAAAAATATATAAAAGTCTAAAATAAGTACTGCACACTTTTAAATTTACTACTGCACATTTAATATTAGCTACTGTACATAGTGTGTGTTACTGCACACAATTTTAGGCCCTGATATTAACAGTACAAGAAAAAAAAATTGAAGCAATGAAAATGTGGACTTGAAGAAAGTTAATTCGTATTAGTTGGACTGAATGGAAGAGTAATATAGAAATACTCCAAATAGTAGAGGAGAAAGAGTACTGCTATCAATCATTAGATCAAAAAGCGAAAAACTTATGGGACACTTAATAAGACATAATCCCTTCGTAACCAACATAATGGAAGGAAGAATTAATGGACGCAAAGGAAGAAGAAAACATTCGTAGGAGAGATAATCGAAATGGCTGGATAAAACGAGTATTCGCATATGAATATCCTTCATTAAAAACCCTGGAATTAAAGAGAGAAGAGTGGAAGTACATTTTTTCACTATGACAAGATCCAGGCTTTAGAAAAAAAGATTATCTAATACCTACCGCGAAAATTTTTGTTTATTTACTGAATTTACTATGTGTGATTTATATTTTTTTGATATGTATCAATTTTTTTTACCAAAAATCTTACTTCAGTCAAAAAATGACACAGTTTTTTTTTAAAAATTTTAGATCTAGTTATCTACTTTAATTGGGTGTTCATTTTTTGATTTTTCTTGTAGTTTTCATTTATCTGTTATGAAAAACCCGTATAGGAAAAACGAATACATTTTCGTTTATTTAAGTTGTCTTTAGAGAAACGATTACCGTACCGATTACCATAGTTCATAACATTAAATAATAGACACATACAATTATAACAGTAACCAGTTACTGGTTATAAATGACACGAAAAAAAATTACATATCAATGTATACATTTTGGATAAGACTATAAAAGTATAATATGTTTGCATATTTCTTAAAATTTTATTTTATTTTTTGGTACATATATTTTAAGGTTTATTGATACATAAACGTATATCATTTAAAAATTTTAAGTATCAAATATGACTTAGTGAAAAAATTTACATGTTTGAGGCCTGTTACGAGGATATTTTGGCACATCACCAAAACCTATAACAACCAAATGCCAAATAGAAACCACATTAATAATGCAATATAACCTTATTACTTATTTAATCACTAATTTAATATGACACACTATTTCAATTTCAAAATCTAAAAATTATATTTTTGTAGGCATGGTTTTTATTTTTATGAAAATATTATAATTAATGTTTTAATGAATTAACTTTACATAGGTACGCACTTTTGATCTATAAAAAAATCACTCGAAATAATTTTTCACATTTAAATAGAATTTGTATCCTTTGAACTTAATTCAAATTGCATTCTAACAGGACTAAACAAGTAGACGATGTTGTCACGGACAAAAGGATCAACAACTTTTTATTCACAATGTGATTGCACTAATCTTACGAGTAAATATATATTATACGTCCCAGTGTAGCTCGTATAGCATAATCCTTTATGTTTGTTTATTTTGCGCTTGTTACCATTTTAAGAGACATTTGAGTGATTACGGCTATTAGTTAAAACAATTTATACACAGTATAATACAAATCATTGAGATCCATTGGTGTTAATATTTGGCGTTTTTTTATTTTTGTGATTTTTATAGTTAAAACGATTTAACTATTTAAATGTATTTAATAAAAGACCCCGCGAGTTTAAAACCTTTGTATACCTATAATAAAACGTACTTTTAAACGTGTTTTACTAAACTAAATTTCTCTCACATAAAATTATATTATATTTTATATATTCTTCTTCTTCATTGGCATCACAACTCGTCAAGAATTTTTGCCGCCACCGAAACCTCCTTCCACTCTTCTCTATTATGTACTTTTTTTTCCCAATCCAGTATCCCTAATTTCTCTAAGCCCTGCTTTATTTCATCTATCCACCACTTCTTTGGACGTCTTCTTGGCCTCTTCCTTGTGGGTTTCCTCTCAACCGCCACTTTAAAGTACTCTGAGTTGGGCCTTCTCATCACGTACCCAAACAATTTTATTCTTTGTGCTTTCACAAAGTTGGTTATCCTTGGAACCCCTGTCAAATCTCGGATCTCTTTATTCCTTCTTCTGCGCTAGCATCCTAGTTCGTTGTCGTATACTGGGCCGCAGTTGGTTCTCAGTATTTTGTTTTCGAATGATATAAGTTGTTGTTCCATTCTGCTATTTAAAGATCATACCTCACATCCATATGTTAATATTGGTCTAATTATCGCCATGTAGAGATGTACTTTGGTTCTTCTAGAAAACAGTTCAAATTTTAAGTATTTAGATAACGAAAACGGTGCCTTTACTGCCTTTATAAATAGATTAATGTTTCAATGTTATAATATAAATGTAACGGAGTCCAAACAATGTCATCACCGTAATAATATAGTCGGCAGAAACAAAAATATTTTTATACTACGTTTTTAAAAGCTTAATAATTATTATTTTTAACCAATCAATCATTTTACAAACATCAATGAACTACATTGATATGTATATTAACATAACAATAAAATGCAATACATCTTGTATGACAAAAAAAAAAAAAACCCGTTAGGTATACGATTTTTCGCTCTCGCTAAAATATTACCAACCTATTTTAACGTTTGGAATCAATCAATGACGCATACACATTTTCGTGCGCAACACGTCAATCGATAAATTCGACATAATAATATACTACTTCATATTATACAGACTGAACTTAAAACCTTCTGGGTATTATGCGGTCCGCCGTCAGACGTCGAGTGTGCGATCTGAGAGCGGTTAGAATTTTCAAAGAGTATCCGGAAAACATCTCGACATGGATTTGACGTGGAAATAAGTTACGTATTGTACAATGTACATAATGCGCATTCGTATACCGTGTTCTACTCAAATTTTTTTTACCCGACGATTACTGTTTTGGAATTCATTTTTCACCCGTCTCGACGTAATCAAAAAAAAAAAATTGCCAATGTCGAATTTAATTTATATCCGTACGTAACGATAAATCATTACGATTCTGTACGAAGTTCGGTTAAAAATGTTTTGAAATACGATAATTATTACGATTATCGTAAAATTCGAACTTAAAATTCTTAAAAAAAATTACAACACATTACGCCCAGCTTTTTTTGTAACACTAATACAACTTATGATAAAACTCGTGACAAATTTCAAACATTTTGACTAGGTAGGCGAAAAAATTATATTCGCGTAAATCGAAAAATACTACGTATATGTGAAATGGCGTAATTTTTACGATTGCCATTAAAATATGAAGTTAAATAAATTCGTAGCAATAAAAACCATACTACTATGACCTAAATTTATTTACCACTGAACACAACTTTTAAGGAACCTCTTGTTAAATGTTCAAATATTTCTATTCAGTCGAAGCGATTATATCTACACGACTATACATAAAACAAACTAAATAATAACTAAATACGCTCAGAAACTAAAAATTTGGAGAACTGGCAATTTAATATTTAATTGTATATCCTATTAAAAATTTTAAAACTATGTGCATAATTAGATTCTATAAAAAAAAATATATACATATTTTATTTGCATTAGCTCAACAACGAGTATTGGGATTTATTAATTTCAACACTGTAAATTAGAGGTTGATATTTTGAATTGCAATATGTCTTATATTTTAAACACTTCGCTTCGGCTATTTTGACCTCTTGTTTGAAGATGTCAAAATAATAATATAATAATAGTAATTTATTAAGGCCTTGTCCAGATCCAGTTATTTCTTGAGTAGTTATCGATTGTATAAAACCATTTTTTTTTTTCATGGTTTATATCTTCTAATCACAAGATTTTTTTTGACAAACGGTAAATTTTAGTATAGCATTAAGTCGGTAAGATCCATTTAATACACTATGTCTATACATTGTCTGATATTTCATAAAATTCCTAGGTCATTTAAACAATTTTATAGATTACCGACTATATTTAACATTATATTAAATAAATATTTATATATACTCAAGCATTATACACAGTTCCAATGCACATTTCCGCTAACACAATATGTATTATATATTTATCCATTGAGGGTCGACTTCCTAACAAAAATGTATAATTATAAATTACCTAATGGATTTTAATAATACACATATACGTACCGAATAATAAAACTAAAATGTTTAGTTAAATAATGTTTTTCATCACACTATTATTAAGAATAATGCAATATTATTGCAAATACAATTGCTAGGATAACTCTGTTGAATTGTGTTGCTTGATAAATGTACAACAAAATAATGATAATATATAATATATTATGGTAAAAATGATCAGTAATTTGTATTTATCTACTAATAACATAAAAATAAATTCTAACAAAATGGAGATCGACATTTAAATCAACTGCGTTCTACCGGTCGATCGCTATCGACCGTTTGGCCACCCCTGTTATATACATACCAAATAGATAACGCTCTGTTTAGTCTGGTCAAAATGTATTATTTAATGCGGGGTATTGAGAACAAAGCAACCCACGTTACGTGTCAAGATTTTGAAACCTATACTGACTGTTGATAATTATAGATTTTCTCGGTATTATACGAGGTAAATATAATAACGAATTTTATTGTAGTCACTGGCAATATAAACTTGTGAACTTTGTATTAATTTGGTTTTCATAGGAAATACGCTTGAAACAATAATTTAAACCAAATTCAGTATGCTTATGAAATATGATCTGAAACAAAATACTGTAGAGGTAACACACTCCAAACATTCCTTGGAATGGAGATGGGAAAGGTAAAAGTATTTTTTTTTTTTTTTTTTATTAATTTTTGATTTCTATATTTATGTGTAACAACCTGTAACAAGAGTTACACTGATTTTATGTAATTCAAAGTTATTTAAATAATTCTTTAAAAAAATAAATAAATTAGCGTTATAATATTTTTAGCTTTATATTCCGAATTTATATTTAATATAAATTTTAATTTAAAAACTATGGATCGAGTAATTTTTTCAAAAAACTATTTTATTTTTATTTATTTTTATTGATAACCTTACAACTCGTTATTTCGTACAACTCAAATAGCTTGTAAAGCCACTTCAAGTACTATTAACATTTAAGATCATTTAAAGTTTACGTGGGAGACGAAAAGTACAGTTCATAAAAATAAATCCACCGAAATTATATTGTTGCACAGCCACTCCTTTAAACTTTAAATATCGAAATATTAAATACTCATGTATAAAAATATGCTTATTGTAATTTATAAACGATAAATTTAATATTCGTTTTATGAACGTTAGAAAAAATACTGTTTGAAAACCAAAGCTTGGCCCACGCAATGATCGTTGTGCAGTCCGGACAAGTGTTAGTTACTGCCATGGTTTATCACCACTTGACTATACTGACCAGCATGATTTTAATTATCGAACTATCGTGAAAGCAACTATCATTATTATATTATGATTGTGATAATAGTTATCTCGACATTATGTACACAACTTGAAAACATTAAAAATACAAAAATCATTAAAGCAAACAACTCGTATAAGTACGCGTTTAAATTTGAACATCTTAAATAAATCTTGCATAATGAGCGTACTAAATCCATTCCCTCAAAACGAAAACAACAGGTTTTTAATGAGCTCATGACCTTTTCGAGGATATAACTTTGACAACCGACAGGGTATTTCTGGACCATCTAAATTAACGACCATTGAAAATCGTTTAAATTAGTATGCAAATTTCTGGTTTCGCCTACCTTTGTTATAATATTATAACCCGGAGGACCATTATAAAACGCGATAAGTGACATTAGAAAATCCTCTCTTCCTGAATTGGACTAAACGAAACTCACCAACGTGTCCCGAGAAAACACTATGGCTTTCTATGAGCGTATTTACCGAGTATTTTAACGATATTGTAAACAATTGATACAATTGTAAATTTAAAAATTTGATTGACCTTTATTTGCTTTCTGTGTTCTCTGGCCTGTTAGATTTTAAAGTTCTAAAAATTGGCCCTCTTGCAACATTGAGTTGCACATTTCTGATATATAATATAATAATATAGTATTAACAATCAGTGGTGGCTCGGAGTATTTTTACCTTGAATCGCCGTTAAACAATGTTCAATCACCCATCCACCCATCACAATCTTCAAGCCACAAAATTCTCACCCTACCACAAATGTATTGGAATTTGTAAAATTTCAATCAAATTTATCTAATTTCCACAGTCTAAAATGTCATGACTTGTTTTGTAAAAACATAATAATTCTTTAATAATAATAATAATAATGTTTAATTTATAATTTATTTTGAAATGAAATTGTATGCCTAATATATATTATATGAAAAAAGACAAAATTTAAAAATAGCTATCCCTGAATCTAATATTCCATCTATATTAATGTTCTTCTTGTTGGCATAGTGTAATATATTTTATATAATATTATTGGCGATGGCTTTAAATTTAGAGAAAAAACCGTCATCTCGAAAGTTTGTCATTTAATATCAAAAGTCTATAGTATACGGTAGCTGTCAAAAAAAATATACGAAGAAAAAATAAATATTTTCAATTTCATATAAGATGTAGTATAAATATAGTATGTAAAATATAGTAAATATAATACTAGATACGAGTATACAGTGTGACAAACATGATATAAATACCGTGTGATTCTTTTTAAAAATAAGCCGAAATATTTCGATCTAATGACGCTGGATTGAAATGTGGTTTTCGAGAAGGAATATAGAATACTAAAATACACATTTCAGGATACATTCCAAATACTTAACCATTTTGGTACACACATGTGTAATACAAATTATTTTTTGAAAAGCGACACCTATGTTTAACATCGGATTCAAATAGCATTAATTTTTTCAAGAAACTTTGAACTTTGCAATTTTTTTTACCTCGAAATTTATCCAAAAACCATTTAATATTGATTAAAAAATATATCTATTATCCCTTTTTTTTTTTCAAAAAATTTAAAACGCGTGACTTTAAAAGTGAAGAC